CCCCAAAACCCCAAAACCCCAAAACCCCACTTTTTTATAATGAAATTGATGAATGATAAGAAATGAAGAATATTAACTCAAATTATATCTGAAGAAACATTGAAAATAAAATATTTAATCTTTTGATAAATAACTTAATATCTAATGTCTGAAGAACATACACATCAGCAACAAGAATAAGAGCTAGCCCACTAACATTAAGAACTCCATCCCTCTCCTCAGAAAATTGAGACTCACGAGCTTCATCCCAGTCACAATGAGCATGACTAGCAAAACGGGCACACTTAATCCAATGATCAAGTAGCTAAGAATACCTCTTAATCGCATTCTTAGGATACCAAGCATCATGCAGTAAATGATCATAACAACTCAGCTGGTACTACCAGTCACAATGATAATCACTTGGAACAAGGTCATACACACAAGGAATAGGCTTAGCATCATACTCAATATGAGGCTCCTTCTCAGAAGTAGTCTCTATAGTCTCCACTTCCTACACAAAAGCAATAATATCAGGGGTAAACTCCAAAGACGCAGCAAAAACCTGCGGCAGTTGCCCTAAACTCTTAAAAATCTCAGGATAACATTTAAATGCAATAAGAACTTCATGTGAGCTCTTAGTAACACAATGGCAAGTCACAAGACAACGGCTCTGCTGGTAGTAGTCCTGTCAGAGGCAATAGAACTGTCAATATCCCTGGTCTGATTATGGGTAAGTAAGAAGTTTGATTAGTCGATTATCGAGTGAGTGATTTTATTTGAAGATCTCCAATTCAAATGAATTTCGCTTGACATTAAATCATTTTAAATATGGTTGTAATTAAATCCATTTTGTAGATGAATTTACTGAATATGCCATGGCTAAAGAAGGTGTCGACTTTAGGGATCTAGAGCCAAAGTATCTACTCATCGTAATAATCCAATTATAGGCCATATGAGGAATTCTTAAAGGAATGCAACGGGAATTAGAAACTTGCTTAAATCAGATTTGAATTCAAAGAAGCTGAGAGACAGAGTATACTCTAAGATATTGAGAATAGAAAGCTTATGATAAGAGATGAAATGAAGCAAGATCACTACGCAACTCATTCACTATAACCACTCTAGCACCCCAATGACTCCAGATTTTTCAACACTTCTCAGGCCTCATTCGCTCATTCCAAACTTTCTAAAGGCTCATAATCGCAGGCACAGCTTTATATGACTGGTCAGCTCTCCTCATTAAAAGGACCTCTGAGTCCTAACAATAATCCTTAAAAACAAAGCTCTAGAAAGCAAATAGACAACAAGATATTCGACAATATGGTCAGAAATTAGATTGAGTAGGAGCAAAAGCTAAGATCAATACACGAGCGTCAGGAAATGTTCCTGATGAAAAGCAGTATAATGCAGGAAAAGAGACAGAGAGAAATTATGAAGAAATAAGAGATGCTTCATTAGAAACAACTGCTTAAAGAAGAGAAGCTAAGAAGAGCAGAGGAACTTCAAAAGAAGTGGCAGATCGAGACATTGCAAAAGCTGAAGATCAAGAGTGATCTTACTGAATAGAGACAGCATTAGTAGAAAATGACTATGAAGATTAGAATTTAGGAAAAAGAATAGCTCAAAGAACTTAAGAGACAACATGCAGAGGAACTGTTCTATTCATAGGTTGAGTAACTTTAGTCAAAGCAAAAGGAAGTTTAGATAAAGAATGAAATGTTTTAAAAGAAGATAGAATATAAACAGAAAGTTCAAAAGGATGTGATTGAGTAAAAAAAGGTTAAGAAGGAGCAAGTATTACAGACTGTTCAAGAAATGAGAGATGCTGAGGAGTAGAAAAAGATGGAGAGATTCCAGTATGCACAGTTCTGCGAAATGGAAAGGGAAAGAAGAATCGAGGAAGAGAAGCGAAGAGACTAGGTGATGAGACTTAGAAAAGGTCAGGAAAAGAATCAGAAAATCTAGTCAAAAGTAGAGGAGGCTTATTAAAAGATGATTGATTGGCAAACTGAACTTGAGAGACGTGAAAAAGCAGCTGAAGACAATCTAAAGAAGTAACAGCAGATTCTGGCTGAGCAATTGCAAGTAAAGAGAGAACTCCAAAAGCTGAAGCAAGAGAGTGCCCAACTAAAGCAGAAAAGAAAGGAAAACAAGGAGAAACTGAAACAGGAAGAGCAGCTCAATAAGCTGTACAACATGACTTAGAAGTTTGAAAACTATAAATATGCCAAGATTCATGAAAAAATGAGAAAGCAACAAGAGCTATTCAAAGCAGAGCAGAAGAGGGCTGATATGAAGACTGCTTTTTATCACATGGCCGTGTGGAACGTCCAAGAGGCAGGCGATATTATCAAGGAAATCATTGAGGAGAATGATAAAAACGGCTTGAACTAAGTAGGAGTTGGACCTAAATCAGTAGCTGAGAAGGTCAGGGAGAAGGCAGCACTTATGAGGAGAAATGAGAGACTTGGAAACAAGACCAGTCCAAGCAGACATGCTGAGGAGTTGATGGGCTTTGGTCACTATGACAAAGCTGACAACCACCAGGCAGAATTTGACAGAGTCAACAGCAATTGAGAATTACCTTTAGAAATTACAAACTTAAGAAATCTTAATGATTTTACTAAACTCTTAATTTGCAAAATTCTGAATAAAGGGGTTTTGGGGTTTTGGGGTTTTGGGGTTTTGGGG